TACACACAGGAAAGCAGGACTGATGTCCTGGGGAGCTTGTGAGCGTGGAGGGACAGGGTCCATTTCCCACTCGGACCATGTTGGGCTATTGCTGAGATGGCAAATGATGGACAGGCCATTCTGAGTGTGGACAGCTGCCAACCAGTGAATCCCAGGTCTACTGTGACTGAACTTTGGTGATCTGGATCACATGTCTGCTCAAAGTGCTTCTTGCCTGTTTGCCAACATGGGCTTGTGACCACACCAGGAAGGGTATCAAGTCTCAGTGTGAAAATGTTGGCTTTAATGTCAACAAATGCTGTCACTCTGGGGATTGTAGACTTAGTGTGTAGACTTTTACATTTCCTGTACAGTTGGAATGTATAGCTAAGGCCAGAAGAATGGACAGTTCTGAGCCTGGGACAGGCGAAGGGTTGTAAAACGGTTGTAAGACTGTCAGGTAGTAAACCCCTCCCACCAGGGGCTGGGGATGCCTGTGTCAGAGACAGGCAGGCTGGGGTAACAGAATCCTGGGTGAAATTCTGGGACTCCAGGCTTGAGGACCCAGTGATGCTTCTTTCTATCATAAGCCAAGGATTCCTAGGATAATACAATTGAAGGTGCTTAGTGTGTGTGTGTCTTCTGCCTATGTGGGAGCACCCAGGTGTTTATAAAAGTGTTCAACAGTTACAATATTATTTTTCTTGTGTGAATTCACTTGTGTGCACACGTGCATGCGTGTGTGTGAGTGTGTGCGTGTATGTGTGTGCCCGCACGCGCCCTTTGTGTGTGTGCATGTGCATGCGTGTGTGTGCATGCAAAGCTAGAGGTCACCTCTGGCTGTTATCCCTCAGGCATCATCTACCGTATTTTTTGAGACGAGGTCTCTCACTGGCCTTATTCATCAGTTCAGTAGTCTGACTGGCTGGCCAGCCCCAGGGCTCTGCCTGTCTCTACCTCTCCCAGTGCTGGATTACAACTGCGTGTCCACTTTCGGTTTGCTTGTCTTGGTTTTTAAGGTGTTTGAATGCAAAGTTGGGAGACCAAACTCAAGTCCTCAAACTTGCCAGACAAGCACGTCACCGACTCATCTTCCCAACCTCTGTTTGTTTGTTTCTTGGTTTTCCTTTTAGATGTCACCAAACCATTTTGGTTTTGTCCTCTAGGATACTGATCACCAGAGGGAAACTGAGGCAAGTTTAGTGTAGACGGAGACTGAGCTTCCATTTCCCAGCTGCCCAGGCCCAATTAATTACACAGAAACAATATTAATTACAAAACTGTTTGGCCAATGACTCAGGCGTATTCTTAGCTAGTTTTTACATCTCAAGTTAATCTATTTCTATTAATCTATGTATCACCACGAGGCTGTGGTTTACCAGTAATGTTCTGGCATCTTTCTCCTTTGGCAATTACATGGAATCTCCTTGACTCTGCCTACTCTTCTTATATACCTCTGTTCAGATTTCTCGCCTGGATTTACTCTGCTAAGCCATTGGCCAAAACAGCTTTATTCATCAGCCAATAAAAGCAGCACATATACAGAAGGACATCCCACATCATTTAGCGTTTCTATAAGAGTGTGGTATTATAATGTAGAAAATAAAAACAATTCAAAGCATAAACACGTGGACAATGGGGCACAAAACTATTCCTCTTTCCCTTTGGATGAAAACAAAATCAAATTTCAAATTAACATTAGGACACTGTGTTTAAATGTTTGTCCAGATTCCTTTCAGAGCCAAGTGTTAAGTGTGCTTTGGTCAGACACAGAGGAGAAATGGCCAGTTAAAGGATCCATGGAGCCCAGTTAACATGACACTTACAGATCTGGGGGCCAGAGGTAACGGGACCTCCCAGAAGCTACTGAACTGGCTCCCACTCCTAATTTCCCAACATAACGGCAGGTGACATTCCCAGGGTGTGGTCACACCGTCAACTCTTCTTAGGGTGCTTGTTCCTTCCTTGGAAAGTTCTGGTTTCTGTATTTGAAGTTTCCCTAGTCATTTGTTCAAAATCGCAGGTCTACCACCAACACTGTTTCCCCTCGCGGCCCGTTCCACCCTTCCCTGGAAGTCTCGCATTGCGCACTGTGACATTTTCATTAAAGTCTCACTGAAAACCAGGGAAATAAAAGTGAGGCTGCTGCTCAGCAGCCCACCCCTTCCTTTTCTCTCTCCTCCAGTCCCTTTCCCTTCATCTCTCCCCCTCCTCTTTTCCTCTCCTCTCTCTTTCCCTCCCCATCTCTCTCCTCCCTCTTCTCTCCCTTCCCCTTTTCTCTCCCCCTCCCCATCTGTCCCTTCCCCTAAGCACTGAACAGCAAGTGACCAGCACAGCAGCCACACCCCAGGCTTATCCAGAGTCCCTCCATGCCCTGGTGTCTGTGTGGCCCTCAGCACTCACAGGGAGGAAATGGTCAGACATGAAGCTCACCGTAACCATGTAGATACTTTCCCGTTTCACCAACCCTGCAACGGACCACTCATACCCCCTCACTTCCTCCCTTTACATCTCAACCCCAGCTTTTTTGCATTGGGAGTTTGTGGCAGGGATCCCTTTAATGTCCAGTTGTATTAATTAACTTTCATGAATTCACTCCTTTTCCCTCCCTGCTTCTCTGCAGCCGCCGATTCTTATTTAATGGACCCACTAGGCATTCAGTTGTCTCTAGGGGGAAATTAGATTTCTTTAAAACTCTCTTCTACAAAAATCTGTTCCACTCTTTCGGGGTCACTGGAACTACTCTATTGATTAGCTGCATTTCAAGGGCTCGTGGGGCAGCCTGGCTGGTGGCTGCTCACGGATTTGAACTGGGTAGATCTGCAGTAGGACCCTTCGGGTTCGAAAAGCAGTTCGAGGAGGTTTCCCTCTTACTTCTTTAACAAAATTTTAAAATTTTGTGATTTCTGACTGGGCTTGAATCACTTGTAGATACGCAAAGGACCTGAAGAATTGCTTCCACCTACTGGAGGAGGCAGAAAAGAAAGGAGCTTCGTCAGATGAGCCTCACAGAAGGACCGGGGCTTCCCAGTCACATGCTTCTTTGATTCCCGTCCTACCCCCATCCCCTTCTTCCTTTACTTAAAAGGAGGATGACTTATTCTGGGTCTTGCAGCTGGGGTCATGGTTCAGTGGTTAAAATGCTTGCTGCAGAAGGACCTGAGTTAGGGATCTCCACTGAGTTAGGGATCTCTACTGAGTTAGGGATCTCCACTGAGTTAGGGATCTCCACTGAGTTAGGGATCTCCACCGAGTTAGGGATCTCCACTGAGTTAGGGATCTCCACCGAGTTAGGGATCTCCACCTGAGTTAGGGATCTCCACAGTTGGAGTGGAAGCTGAGTGTTGTTGGGACTGCAAGCCCAGTACTGGGGAGGCAGAGATGGGGACCCTTGGAGCTACTTGGGCAGTCAGTCTTGCTGCCCTGGGGAGCTCCAGGTTCAGCAGGAGAATCTGTCCTATATTTCTGCAGTGAAGAGCACTGGCTGCCCTTGCAGAGAACTCACGCCCGGACAGATAGTGGCTCACAGCTATCTGTAACTACAGTTCCAGGGCATCTGATGCTCCCTCTTCCAGCCTCTGTGGGCACTGCATGCCTGTCACACACACAGAGACACAGACACAGACACACACACACACAGATGCGTACACACAAATAAAAATAAAATAGACCTTAAAAAAATAGTCTGAGCAATTCTACCACAGGGTGATGGGAAGTCGTCTCAAGCTTTTCTACATGTGCAAGTTAATCTTAATGAAGAGTGGGCGTATCGTCTGCTGATTAGTACGTGGAAGTGTTCCAGGGAGATAATATAAAAATAGAATCATTAGTCACAAATTTAAATTATTCAAGTCCTGTCGCAGAGTAGAATTTAAATGGGGGAACATAGAAACAGCTCCTGCTAGTCCTCAGGGCTTGCGTGAGCACCGTCAGGCAAGGGGGTCACATGACAAAAAGTAGGTAAACTGAGGTACAGTGTTCTCGAAAGGAAGCCTGCTGTGCTGGCTGGTTTGTGCACACGACACAAACATAGACGTAGCTGGGAAGATGGACTTTTAATTGCGAAAACTCCTCCATGAGGCTGGCTTGTAGATAGATGCATTGTCTTGACTGATGACTGATGGGGGCAGTGCCACCCTGGGCAGGGGGTCCTGGGTGCTGTAGGGATGCAGGCTGAGCAAGCCATGAGGAGCAAGCCAGTAAGCAGCCCCTCTCCATGGCCTCTGCACCAGCTTCTGCCGGGAGGTTCCTGCCTTGAATTTTTGTCCTGATGTCCCTCAGTGATGGAGTGTGATGTGGAGCTGTAAGATGAAATACCCCACCCCCTGCCAAGTTGCTTTTGGTTATGATGTTTCGTTACGGCAATAGAAACCTAACTAAGACAGCTACTTTAATTGATGTGAACCTCCAAGCCTTGTGGGCTGGAGCGCTACAGGCTCAATAAAGGACTGACAATGTGGTACTTGATATATCCTGATAGTGAACTATTTAACAGCACTCATCTGAGAGAGTCTGCTTCATGCCAGGCTCTGTTCAGAACAGGACACCCGGGTGCAAACAAGACAGAAATCTGTGTCTTGGAAGCTGACTGCCCGGTCCCTGGAATGCTTGTCTGATGGACGTGTGTTTGTTGGCCTGAGGTTTGGCCACTGGACCCCAGAGTCATCATCACTTGCCAGTTCGAGTTTAGGAAGCAGAGGTAAGAGCCAAAGCCCCTTGAGATCGGCGGTGATGGTGCACACCTTTAATCCCAGCACTCGGGAGGCAGAGGGAGGCGGATCTCTGTGAGTTCGATTCCAGCCTGGTCTACAAGAGCTAGTTCCAGGACAGGCTCCAAAACCACAGAGAAACCCTGTCTCGAAAAACAAAACAAAACAAACGAACAACAACAAAAAAAAAAACAATAAAAAAAGAGTGAGTTCCAGGACAGTCTCCAAGACTACAACAGAGAAACCCTGTTTCAAAAAACCAAAAGTGTGTGTGAGTGTTTGCATGTGTGTGAGTGTTTGCATGTGTGGTGCACGGTGTAGGTGTACATGCACATGTGAGCCTGTGCACACAGGTGGAGGCCTGAGGAAGACATCAGGTCCCTTACCCTATTACTCTGCCTTATGCTCTCGAAACAGGGTCTCACACGGAACCTGACAGCCAGCGATGCTCCTGTCTCCACACCCTTCTCACAGTGCTGGAGTTACAGGCGAGTTCACACCATCACTTGTTTCTATGCGGGTGTTGGGTTCTGAACTCAGGGCCTTAATGCTCGCACAGAAAGCACCCTGACCCACTGAGCCATCTCTCCAGTCTCTGTAATAGTAAATACAGCACATTTTTAGAAGTCTTCTGAGCCATTGTGGTTAACTGTCAAACCAGAAGGAGGCCATGGCGACTCTTGAGTGTAACCAGTTGGTCAGAGGAGAGGGTGGACCTGAGGACCTCCAAACTTAAATGTGGTGTCTAAATTTAAAGCAGATCAGCAGTTGTGTGGGAACTGCCCTTGGCCTTAGCTTGGCAAACCCGTTGCAGCTGTGTGTTCTTATTACCATGGCTACTGAACCGTATGGCTTAATTCTATCACGCTGTCAGTTTCTGGCCGGGGATGTGTAGATTGCAGTGGGCCGGCCATCTGCAGAGTCCCGTGGCCACTGACCTAGTAATAAGGCTCTTTCCAAGTCAGCTCTTCTCAGAAGCCCACGAGGACCGCTTTTGGGTTCTGTTCATGCCTGACTTTACACAACAGTATGGTTAAGCAGTGCGGTTAAGCAGTACGGTTACAGGAGCAGAGTGGTGCGGTGTGCAAACCTGAGGCAGTCGCTGGCTCCTTCCTGGCCATGACTGTGGCCCAGATATGGGGAAAGTGAGCTCAGGGTTGCTGAACATGGCTGGCTTGTATTGTTTTTCCCCCTTTCTCGAGACAGCATGTCCTCAGAAAGGTAAATTTCAATTGGTGTCCTGAGCATGTGTGTACATATGTCTGCGTGGGGCTGGAAGACAACCTCAGGTGTCTGTTCGCCTGTTTTAGAGACTGGATTTCTCACTGACTTGGAACTTGCTAAATAAGTTAGACGGGCTGGCCAGCAAGCCCCAGGAATCCACCCATCTCTGCCTCTCTAACATAAGGATTAAAAGTGTGTGCCACCATTCCTGGTTTGGATTGTTTGTTTAAGACAGAGTTCCACTCTGCTACCTTGGCTGGCCTGGAACTCACCAAAATCCACTTGCTGTTGCCTCCAGAGTGCTGGTGCATGCTGGGATTGATGATGCCCTCTTTCCCTCCCTTCCTTTTTGATAGGGTCACATGTAGACCAAGCGGGCCTCAAACTCACTCTGTTTCATGGATGACCCTGGACTTCTGCTCCTCCTGCTTCCACCTCCTGGGTGCTGGACCATAGACATGCATCACCACCCTGGGTCCAGCCAGGGCTGAGGGTCAGACACAGGACTTCCTGAACGCTAGGCAAACACGCTACCAGTGGAAACACACCACCCCTAGCGGCTACCATGGGCTTTCTGATCAGATAAAAACCAAGGACTTGGGTCGAGAGAGAGTACAATTTGGAAATCTTCCCACAGGGAGGGAAAGGGGTTTCTGGTTTTTAAGTTTTACTTCTCAATGAACTAAAAGTTAACCTGGGGATAAAAACAGGAAAAGTCATACAAATAAATAAATTCAACAAAAACAAAAATGCAAACCCCTGTGGGGGAATGAAACCCCACAGGTAGGGCTGGGGCAGCCTCTTGCTGAGGGCCAGGTTGGGAGATCCCGGTGAAGGGATCTTAACAGTAAGCCTCACATACAGGGAGGACTGGTTCCCCTCTCTGTGCCAAACACCTGGCAAAGAGACCTCAGCTTCCCACAGTGAGGTTTCCATACCTCCATCCCGTTCCAGCTCTTAAGACATCCTGCTGTGTAGTCCTGGGACGAGCTGTGCATGTGTCTGTGAGCATGTGTAGACTCCCCTTTCCACACATAGCACATCTGGCTCTCCCCATATTAGGAAGACAGACACACAGCTGGGCTGCCTTAGTCATCAGGCACATGGCTGGCCCCTCTTTTTTTGCTAATTGCAGCATCTGGTTCCCTGGAAGAACGGCTCTCTCATTACAAGGTACAGGAGAGGAAGAAGTAACTTGCTGTGGACATGTGCTGCTGGAACAGCTAGAGACGAGGGAGAATGAAAATCTCACTTTAGAATTTTGTTTAAATCGAAGTAGCGATAAGCAAGTGGCTCTCCCTCCACCTCACAGGCCCTTCTGGAGGCTTTGACAACCGGAGCTTACGAGAAACTGCAACATTGGTGGAGCTGCGAAGACGCCCGCCATATCACCAGGACAGCTGGAGCCAGGGTTTTCGGCTCCGTGACCATATATGACACCCTGGTTCACATGTTCCCCTCACACCGAGTTACCATAGAATTACACGTACCGTCTTCTCTACGGCAACACGGAGATGAGCCTTGAGGGTTGGAGAGACCACTCAGTGCTTGCTACATATGTGTGAGGGCTTGAGTGCAGATCCCAGCACACAGGTTTAAAAAGCTGGGCATGACTACACACTATAACCCAGCACTGTGAAGGGCAGAGGCAGGGGAATCACTGGGTCTTGCTGGTTGCCACCCTAGCTCCAGGCTCAGTGAGAGACCCTGTCTCAGGGGAATTAAGTCATATAGTGATAGAGCTGGACACGCAACATCCTTCTCTAGCCTCCCACACATAGGCACGTGGGCATCCACACATATGTGTGTGCATTACACACACACACCACGGACCGTATATACTCATGCTTGTAAGTAAAACTTCCTCAGACAATGTTCGCAGAGAACAAGATGCTTCCAACTTGAAGGGCCTTGGGATTCTCCTCTGTCAACATCACGTGTAGCAGGTCTTTCTTTGTGCCGTGACTTCTCAAATTAATAAATAAGAAGACACACGGACTTCTTATTAAGCATGAAAGCTTGGCCTTAGCTTGGGCTTCTTCCCAACTAGCCCCTATAACTTAACTCATTTCTATTAATCTACGTTCTGCCACCTGGCTTGTTACCTCTCCTTGTACTGCACGTCTGACTTGCCCTGCATCTTGCTGGCAAATCCTCGGCACCTCAGACTCTTCCCAGAGTTCCTCTCTCTCCCTGGAAGTCTTACCTATCCTTTCCCGCCTAGCTACTGATCTTTTGGCTCCTTATTATACCAATTAGAAGGGGCCTTGGCAGAGACACATCTTCACAATGTACAGAAAGATTATCCCACAGTATTTTCCTCTTTTTGTCTAAATAAAAAGGAAAGGTTTTAACACTAACACAGTAAAACTATATGCAATAAAAATAATTATCAGGTAAGAATTATAGTCACAAGATCCAGTCTATTTGTATTTGGAGAATTCAGAGAAAGTGCTCTGTTATCTGTCCTATTGTGGGAGTACAATTTATTTTTATTTTTATTTTTTTGGTTTGTCGAGATAAGGTTTCTCTGTGTAACAGTCCTGACTGTCCTGGAACTTGCTTTGTAAATCAGGTTGACCTTGAACTCACTGAGATACGCTTGTCTCTGCCTCCCCAGTGCTGGGATTAAAGGCAAGCACCATTGCCTGGCCTAGTCCAAAGTTTTTTTTTTTTTTAATCTAAATCACTTTCTATTGTAACTTGTATTAACAATCTAAAAATATATTTTTAAACCTTAAAACATTTTCTTAAATAAACAATTTAAGCTTTTATATCTCTCAACCTTATGAACTTTATATCTATTTTGTAAATTTCTTTTCTGAATTTGGTAACAAAGAAAATGGTATACACATCTAGTCTTCAACCCCGTCAGAGACCCTAGAAGGATAAAATATTACCTGAATAAACAGGAAGTACAGAGCAAGAAAATTCCAAAACTATAGGAATGACAGAGACAGCTGGCTGCCTGGACAGTCACCCAAGTTTTCCCTGCTACATTGGAGCATCTTTGTGTGGAGGCCCAAAAATATGAGCCTGTTCCCACCTTGACTAAAGGTCGGGGGTTAGAACTTACGTTTAGTCCTTCAAGGTTCTTGTGTTTCTCTTCAAACAAAGATCCTACCTAGATTTAGATCGGAGAGTTCTGCTCTCTCAAGGGTGTGAGTGTGACTTGTTTTGTTCTAGCAACAGAATGTTCTTGGCCACATTGAAAGTAAATTCCATATGGGGTTTCTTCAGTGCTTATCATCTTCTATGAAGTAGATTGATGCTGCCAGGAACAGACACGTCACACTGTCAAGAAAAGCCTTATGTTATCAAAACATCTTAAATGTCACATTCTGTAAATCTCTAAAGCATTTGAAGACTACCTAGCTATCTAAAATATATCTCTGTTTGACCTTGAAAACATACCTATCAGGAACATAAGTTTGATTGTTATAGATGACTAACTACTAACCTACATTTTAAAATTATCCTAAGTAGTTTTTAATAATCACTTTCAAGGACTAGAACTTTATATTACATTTTAAAATGAACTGTATAGGTACAATACCTTAAACATGAACAGAAACATATATACAGTATTTTAAAAACAGAAATAACCTTAAATGTGTATCAATATACAAAAACCCATGCCAATGTAAAATATTTGAGACCAGTAGCTGATTTTTAGCAGATTCAGTATTCTACTTTTTATCTTATCACTCATATATCCCCCATTTTTTTCTTTTCAGAAAGAGATCCCTGAATCTAACCTCCTTTGTTTAGTTTCCTCCCTGACCAACCAAAAGCAACTTGCAACTAACCCCCTAAACAATGACAAACATCCATAACCCACTGAATAACCAAAAGCCACCCATCCTACCTCTTGGGAATGTGGGCATCATGTTCTCAAATTGCTTCCTGTTTCCGGGGACAACCACATCTTTAGAAAATTGGGATAACGGTCAAGTCCTGGGAGAGCCAGTTGCATCATCTGTCGTCCCGTCTCTGTGTGATGGGAAAGCACAGGGCTTATTTGAAGTCCTAGCTGGAGTCGTCTGTGAGGCTGGATCTTCTCAGCTAGCAGCTGTGAAGTTGTTCTAGATGCAGAATTTTGAGGAACCTGCAACAGAGGCATTCTGAGAGTCTGGATCACCTGGGCAACTTGTCTTCTTCATTGGTGTGTGGTCCTTTCGTTGTGAAAACACACAACTTAAAGGTAACGTGCGTATCTGCATTAACATGAATAGGGAAAGCAGAGCGTGCAGAAACCAGCTAAAGCCGATTCTCTGCTCTATGTTTGAGCAGGTGAAAGACAGCTGTCAGCTTTTGCTGCATAATCAAACTGTAATGTAAATCTCGATCTGCAGCCATATGAAAGAGTGGCAATGTAATGATAAGTCTGTATTCAGCAAGATTTATCCTGTCTCATCCAGTCTCAGAGCTGCTCCCTAGCAGAGGGGTCAGCCCATACATTGCCTGTCTTGCAGTCTTTCTTGGTCTCTTCCTTCATGTCTGCAACTGAGATTTTCAGGAGGTCTCCCCCAGTCAAATCTGATCTTTATTAATTCTGAAAAAAGTCATAGCTTTTTGTTTCCTGTGGAAATAAAGGCAGAGCCACTCCCCCAACACAATACATTTCCTGACTTCCATTCCGAAGTCAAGACATCCTTAAAAATATAGGCTGGTTTAATACAGCAGTTTCCGTAATCCAGTGTTTCTTGGCAGCTGATATTTTTGCTCATTTGTATTTAAAAATACAAAGTTGATAAAGCGCTCACTATATAGACTATAGATTCGCTATGTATTTCCCATCCTTACGTGGCTTATTCTTTTTATATTACTTCACTCTTTCTTTTTTCAATGATTTTTGTCTATGGCTGTCTATCCATTCATTCTCTCTCTCTCTCTCAGCATCTAAGCACATTTTCAAGCATACTGTACTTGTTCAGAGATTTTCTCAGTCTGGGCCTGGATTTTTGTGCATCTGCAGCCTTTTCTGACCATGTGATCTGAACCTTAAGTGGCCAGGCTATTCCCTGCATGGCTCCACTTAGAATGGGCTGCTGGCAGCTGGCTCTGCCTCACTCAGGTTGGCCCAGCAGGCTACCCCACTGGTTCTGGGCTGCAGTTGCTGTTTGCCTTTTCCTGAGAGTCAAGCCTCATGCCCACAGGCATCAGCCAGGAACTGCTTTTACCAGCCCCAGCTCTGGGAAGTTGTTGGACCTGCGCTAGTCTGGTCTCCCACCAGGCAGTGCACCAGCTGCTCTGTGTTTGAATATATGTGTCCAACAATGGATGCTGCTTGCAGCTGAACTTCCTTTGGACCACCAGCTTCCAAATGATGGCATGAAGACTTCTTATTAATTATGAAAGTTTGGCCTTACTTTAGGCTTCCTCCTGACCTGCTCTTATAACTTAAACTACCCTATTTATATTAATCTGGGTTCTGCCATGTAGCATGTCACCTCACCTCCATTCTGTATGTTTGAATCCCTCTGAGTCTCAGATTCCTCCCAGAGTTCCTCTCTCTCCCTGGAAGTCCTGCCTATCATCTACTGCCTAGCTATTGGCCACTCAGCTCTTTATTAAACCAATCAAAGGTGCCTTGGCAGAGACACACCTTCACAGTGGACAAAAAGAGTATCCCACAACCACCACAGATAACCGAGTTCCGTGGAACAGAGAGATTGGATCAGAGTGGTCCAGAATAGGACAGTCTGAGCCTTGTCACTTGAACTTGCGCCTGAGCCTTATAACTAGCAACAACTTCTGTGCTACCCTTCTCACGACAGAGACAAAACGCCTGGCAAGGCAGCCTGAGGAAGGCGGGGCTTATTTCAGTCTAGTCCATCATGGCTGGGAAGGCACGGCAGCAGGAGGGTGAGCCGGCTGGTCACAGGGCATCCACGGTGAAGTAGCAGAGAGGATGTGGTGGCTAATCTTGGTTGTCAACCCAATCACGTCAGAATCAACTAAAACCCAAGCAGATGGGCACGCCTGTGGGGGATTTTCTTGATTGGATCATTTGAGGGCAGAAGGCAGACCCTGAGTCTGGACCATAACTTCTGGCAGCTTGTATAAAAGACCATGGTAGAAGGAAGCTTTTGCTTTCTGCCTGCTTGCCCCTACTCTCTCTGGCAAGTCCATCTATCCTGCTTCTGGGGCTTTTCCTCACTGGCAGTGGAACATACCTTCTTCAGGATCCAACACAGCTAACGCCCAGCAGAGACAGCCAGCCTCTGGAACTGAACAGTTACTGATGCTTGGCCTTTCTGTTAAATGGTAGCCATTGTTGGTCAAGCCTGATAACGGTCTGTCAACCACTCTAAATCCACTTTTAAACACATGTGTTCCTCTACTAGTTCTGTTCCTCTACAGAACCCCGGCCAATGCACACATGGATGCAGATGCTCCTCTGATTTTCTCTTTTCTATTCAATCTGAGATCCCTCACAGATACACCCAGAGGTTTGTTTCCATGGCAATTCTAAATACCACCAAGTTGACGGTCAAACATAAGCATCACATTGGCCCGAGTTCTATGTCCCTAGTTTTGGTTTTCCATCTTGATCTTCAAGTTATGTCTCAAGCCAAGGCATAACCACATTTGGTCATCTGAGATACTGAGGTCCTGGCAGGGCGGACTGTTACAGCCTAAGCCTAGCAGCTGGTGATGCAGAAGCAAGATATCGTCCTAGAGATGTTTTAAAATTCTTATTTATGTACATAGGCATGGGTATATGCACCTGAGTGCAGTGCCCTCAGAGGCCAGAAGAAAGTGCTGGTTTCCCTGGAGCTGAAGTTACAGGAAGTTGTGAGCCATCTGATGTGGGTACCAGGAACTGAACTTGGATCCTTTGCAAGAGCAGCCAGGTTCTTAAGTGTTGAGCCATCTCTCCAGCCTTACAATGTATAGTCTTGACAGTACCCAGAAGAACAGAGCATCCAGGGGGAGGGAGAGAGAAGGGGGAAGGGGAAAGAGAGAGAGAATGGGGGGAGGGGAGAGAGAGAGAACAGGAAGATATGGACCACCAGAAAGGGCTGTAAAACAAAATTCAAAGGGGAACTCAGATGCAAAGCATGAGGTATAAAGCCAGCACATATCTTGTGTGGGGGAAAGAGAATTCCTCTCCTAGAACCCCACTAATTAAGATTCAGAGACAATAAGTTTTAGAGTCTGGCCGGGCTGTGGTGGCGCACGCCTTTAATCCCAGCACTCGGGAGGCAGAGGCAGGCGTATCTCTGTGAGTTCGAGACCAGCCTGGTCTACAAGAGCTAGTTCCAGGACAGGCTCCAAAATGACAGAGAAACCCTGTCTCGAAAAACCAAAAAAAAAAAAAAAAAAAAGAAAAAAAAGTTTTAGAGTCTGGACAGGGCTGCAAATGGCATCAATTGTGTCTGACTATGGGAGACGGGAGACAGATTGGGTCTTTCTTCCATGAATTGCACCCAGACCCCATCCGTGGGAAGGAAAGAAGGAGAGGGGAGGGGCAGGAGTGGAGGGGAGGGGACAGGGAAAGACACGGGCAGCTGAGTAGATGCCTGAGCAGACTACCTTCCAAAACATACTCTTTTTGAACTTGAGAAATAACGGCTAGAAAGATCTAAGGGCTGGAGGCCACAGCCTTGAAGTGATGTCACCCACTCTGTCCGGAAGTAGAAACAGGGAGAGGGAGGCAGGGCTCTGTGCTAGCCTGAGGTGGCATCTGCAGGGAAGCCGAAGCCACGGGGCTCTCCTCCCACTTCCGGCCTGCAGCATATTTTTGGATATTCGTGGTGTAGTTATCCTGTTCTTCCCACTTCTGGCCTTCAGCATACTTCTGGATGTCCGTGGTGTAGTTAAATGTCCCGTTCTTCCCACTTCCGGCCTGCAGCGTTATTTTTGGATGTTCGTGGTGTAGTTAAATGTCCTGTTCTTACAAAGGTTGGAGCCTTGAAGCTTCGTCTTTCTTCTCAGCTGGACCTTAGCCCAGGGTGACCATCACTCAGGGATCTCATGCCTTAGGAGCCTGAGTTAGGGCTTTCATGTTCAAAGGACATGTCCATTGAAGACTTAGAATATGGACTTGCTCTGATGTTCGCAGCCTTCAGTTCTCCCAGCCAAAGCAGGCTTCCTTAAAAGGGTGACTGTGTTCTCTTCCCCCCCTCCACACCCCCATGCTATCAACCATTTAAGGGCAGAAGGGTTTGTCCAGCTTGGCAATGGAGGAGCCATGGCCACATCAGCGATTTGGGATTCTTGGACTATTGGGGATTATCTTTCCAATAGGCAACCCCTCCCAAGACATCATTCCCTTGTGGAAAACACCAGCCAAATATTCCAGCTAGACCTTGGGGGTTGGACCTGTGGTTAAGAAAGTGGTTTTGAAATCTGTGTTGTTCCAGCACAATCTTAAATTCCAAATTTGCACAGATTCAGAGAGCACAAATCCTTTCTTTCACTGAGAGAATAATCAGGAGTTAACCATCGCACTAGCTCAAGGCAGATGACTGGGAGACAGGGGTAGGTGGAGCTGCGGGTTTGAGGCTAGCCTGATGTACACAGCGCACTCCAGGTGAGCCAGATCTACATAGTGAGACTCTGTTTAAAAAAAAATAATAAAAAAAACAAACAAATACAAAAACTCCCCCTCCAAACAAACAAAGAACAAAAAAGTTTCCCAAACAAAGACACAGAAGGAAACAGTGTAGGAGTCTATGAATATGTAATGTTTTCTATGCGTGCCTGTGTGTGCATGAGCGCACACACAACTCTCAGGAATAGTTCCTTGAACTTTGCTTTTGGCCATGCAATAGGGGAAATAGTAAAGTTCGGTTAAATATTTAAGATTGTCCCACAGTTCTCTCGTGTCTGGATCATTTAACCTTCACCATGGGAAGAGATTCTTCAGGAAGCTGCAGGACTTTCCTGTGGGGGTCGGGGAAGCAAAATGGGCAACCCGAGGCTCGGAGCCTGGAGCTGATCCCCAACTCACAAAGGACGGATGGGTGCTGTCAAAAGCACCAGGACTTGTCACCTTGGCACAGTCTTTCACCTGGGGAGTTTCAGGGACTGTCCAGAGCAGGGTGGCTTGTGGGAAGTCCTGGGTCGGGGGAGAGGTTGTCATGATTGTCAGCTGATGAGGGAAGACCCAGTGTAAAAGTGGATGCCACCGTTCTGGGTTTGGGTCCCAAGTGATATAAACGCAGAGGGAGGCCAGCACTGACAAGCACGCAGGCTTTCCTTCTCTCTGCACTTGACTGCGTGTGGCCAGCTGCTCAACTCCTGCAGCCTCGACTTCCCCACAGTGATGGATTATAACCTGAGATCATGAGCAAGAAAACTTTTTTCCTTAAGCTATTTTCCATCATTTTTGTTGTTGTTGTTGCTGTCTATTTTTGTTTGTTTTTCGAGACAGAGTTTCTCTGTAGCTTTGGAGCCTGTCCTGGAACTAGCTCTCGTAGACCAGGCTGGTCTTGAACTCACAGAGATCCGCCTGCCTCTGCCTCCCGAGTTTAAAGGTGTGCGCCACCACCACCTCCTGGCTTTTTTTTTTAAATTTCAGTGACAGAAATAAAACCAGGGCATGCAAAACACTGCCCGAGACAGCCTCACCCCACATGGCTTCTTTCAACTATATACCTAATGTTCCTGGTTCCCTGCGTTTCAAAGGGAACAGTGTGAATGTTCCAAGACCAGCACCAACAGACTGTGTGGACTTTATCCTCATCATTGGCCCTAATACAATGCCAAAGTTTTTCCACTGGGCGGCTTTCTACAGCTGTGAAGTGTGAGTCCGGAGTGGGTGGGTTCCAGATTCACCTGCAGTCCTGGTTACTGACACCAGCCTTCACAAGCGTCTAGGTCAGCGGGCCTCAGATAGCAATCACTCTCTGAGCGCTCAAATCTTTAATTCACATTTCTGTTCACACATCAGGTGAAGATGTGTGAGCTGCAGCTGCTAAATCTAACAGCGGTGTCTGTGGAGCTGCGATCTGCGGGGCCCGGGGTACCGCAGCAGCATCACCGTCAGCCCAGCCCTGAGGAGCTGCTTTTCTCAAGAATGTCAGCTGAGAGCTGTAATAGGCTTCAAATGAAAAGTCAACTTCTGAGAATTAGGTCATCCAAAATGGAGCTCAGAAACCCCGCTCTATAAATAGACAGCTATAGAAAGAGGAAGGGGATGGCATGTTTGAGGTGAGAAGCTGGAACTGAGCCCTTGCACATCCCACAGCGGGAGCTGAGGCCCTTGCACACAGCCAGCCCCTCAGACGTCCCACGCTGGACCCGAGGCCCTTGCACACAGCAAGCCCCTCAGATGTCCCACGCTGGACCCGAGGTCCTTGCACACAGCGAGCCCCTTAGACATCCCACAGCGGGAGCTGAGGCCCTTGTACACAGCCAGCCCCTCAGATGTCCCATGCTGGACCCGAGGCCCTTGCACACAGCCAGCCCCTCAGACGTCCCACGCTGGACCCGAGGCCCTTGCACACAGCAAGCCCCTCAGACATCCCACAGCAAGAGTTGAGGCCCTTGCACACAGCCAGCCCCTCAGACGTCCCACGCTGGACCTGAGGCCCTTGCACACAGCAAGCCCCTCAGACGTCCCACAGAGGCCCTTGCATACAGCTAGCCTCTCAGACATCCCACAGCTACCTGAATCCTGATGAGGAACCCTGTGTGTCACCCCAGCCAGGCAATGGCACGTGGATATTTGGTCAAACATGCTAGATAGTTTGAGGAGGATGTTTGGGGACGGTTAATCATTAAACCTATGAACCTTGAGCACAGCAGGTCACTGGTTATAATGTGTGTGGGCCCCTAATCAGTCAGGGCTTAGCCCTAAAGGAGGATGGAATCCTGCCAGCAAACCGCCTTTGTGCTCGAACTATAGCTCCTCTCTGCTCTTCCGGTCTGTGGGCACCAAGTCGGCACTGGTCTTGCCAAGTCTCCAAAATTATGAAAGCTAACTTCTTGAATTCCCTCTCCTCCTTTCCTGCTGCTTCTTCCCCTTGCTCCCTCTCTCCCTGCGCGCACGCGCGCGCGCACACACACACGCGCGCGCACACACACACACACACACACACACACACACACAGGTGGCCCAAAGACAAACAAGAGAATCACCAGGTGCAGTCCTCTAGGGAGTGTGCCATCACAGGGGTTCACACCCGCCCAGCTTCTGAGGGATGGGAGCCAACCTGGGGGCAGGAGCTTACATCAGGAGAACATAAACCATCTGCTCCCTCTACAGTTGGGTTTCCTCCTTTTTCTTATCTCATTTTGGGTCACAATCCACTTTGGATATGGCAGGCACATTCCACCCACCAGGATGGGATGGCTGGGTTCTTCCTCGCTGTCTGACAAGGTTTGAAGGCAAACAACCTCCTCCTGCTGTCAAAGAAAGTATTTGGGCTGCTAAATATTTGAGTATGGTGTGCGTTTGAATAAGAATAACCCCTATAGGCTCTGAAAACTTAGTCACCAGGGAGTGGAACTCTTTGATAGGATTAGAAGGATTAGGAGGTGTGGCCTTATAGGAAGTGCATCACTAGGGTTGGGCTTTGAGGCTTTCAAAAGCCCATACCAGGCCCAGTATTTCTGCTCCCCCCCCCACACTTCCCCACCGTGTATCAAGATGTAGCTCTCAGCTACTGCTCCAGCCTCATGGGTGCTGCCGTACTGCCCACCACGATGACAATGGAGTAAACCTCAGAAACTGTGAGCCAACCCCAAGTTTGTGGTGGCGGCTGGTGATGTCTTCTTCATGTGAGATAACACAGACTTAGCCTGAGAGTCTTGCAGATCGGCCCTCACACCAGACCAGAAGATGTTTACAGAATTCTGGAATTGGAATGGGATGGCCCTGGGAGCAGAGGTGGCAACCTGCCCTTTCCGTGTAGGTGGGGGCACCACCTGCTCCCAACTCAGCACGTGCAGGCTCAGCTCATGGGTGCAGCCATGTGGGTGGCAGTCAGTAACCTCTCATGACTTCATCTCCCCTGAGTCCCATTCCATCCTGTGAGTCCTGCGATACCGTCCCGTCACTATGGCAGGACATCTGCAGAAAGCGACCTAGAGTTCGAGACCAGCATGGTCTACAGAGCTAGTTCCAGGACAGGCTCCAAAGCCACAGAGAAACCCTGTCTCGGAAAAAAAAAAGAAAGAAAGAAAGAAAAAAAGAAGGAAGGAAAGAAAGAAAGAAAGAAAGAAAGAAAGAAAGAAAGAAAGAAAGAAAGAGAAAGAAAGCTACCTAGAGGAGGAGGAAGGTGTTTTAGCTCACAGGGTCAGAGAACTCAGATCATGGTCACTTGGTTCCGTGACTCTGAGCCTGAGAGCAAGTGGGGTATCATGATGGGGGTTGAGTCTGCTTCTCTGTGCACATCAATGGAGTCACTCACCAATGAGGTCAAAGCCCTTACGACAATCATTTCCCAATAGTCACCAGCCCCTAACACATTGTCTTTGGGGCCAGTTAAGCTCCATTTGCCTGGAGTTGTTCTTGGAGCTGTTTCTGAAGACTCCTTTCAAGGCTCTCTTCAAGAAAAAAGCCCCACCCTGTGCACCTGTGCAGGTTTCACTTGGCTGCCCTACCTGACTATGCTGCCATGGCTTCTTTCTCACTGAGGTGGCAGAACACCTGACCAAAGCACTGGGAGGGAAGGAGGATGTTCGGGACTCACAGTTTGTAAGTGTATCCTTGCTCCTCAGTTAACCTAATCTAGAGATGCCCTCACAGACAAAGGGTTGTCTCTTTTCTGAGTCTAGATTCTGCTTAGCCGGCAATCAGGATTAGCCTTTCATTACGCTTGGCTCAAATTTCTCTGTGGCACACGTCGCTCCTAGCATTGTTGTTCATGTCTTCATGGCTTTGTTCTCTCTCCCCTTGCACTGGTTCTCGACCTCCCTAATGCTGCGGCCCTTTAATACAGCTCCTCGTGTTGTGGTGACCCCAACTATAACCTTACTTCATTGCTACTTCATAACTGTCATCTTGCTACAATACTAACTGCAATATAAATACAATACTAATTGCAATATAAATATCTGATATTTCTGGTGGTCTTGCCCACCCCTGTGAAAGGGTAACAACCCATAGTTTGAGAAACACTACTCTAGGGTCATAGCAGATTTGCATCTGACCCCTTCCTGTCACACACAGGCACTCAGGTAAGTGGTGCGTGAGTGGGCTATCCAAACTGGCATTACCCCACCAGAAATATCTGAAAAGAGATTTTATTTCAAGCAGGCAAATCATCATCCCAGACCAGCGTTTAATTTCTCTGAGAACCAAGGTATCCTATTGAAGCACTTTGCTACTAAAAAGGAAAAGAAAGGTTGTCGGGAGCCTGATTCACATGCTGGACTGCTCCACCAATTGATTCCTTAGCCATTAATTAGCCTCTGTGTAGCTGTCAGACCCCAGCGCGTCAATCAATCTCCGGCTGTCACTGATGCGCGCCCGAGCGAGAAGACAGGGTTGGCGCTAGCGCTTTTGCTCTTGACGTCGTTGTTTTCCCTCTCTAATTTAAACAGGCTTTGCTTCTCTTCTTCTTAGGGTTAGAGAAGTATGAGAATAATGAGGAATAAACTCCATGCAAAGAGCACGCAGGAAAGGTGAGGCTGGGCTGCTGAGGCGGTTCAGTGAGAAAGGTGCCCGTCCCCAAGCCCAGTGACCTGAGTTCGATCCCTGAGACTCCCATGGTGGAAGGAGAAGACCAACTCCTATAAGTTGTCCTCTGATTTTCACACAGGCCCTGTATCATGCGTGTTCTCATGTGCACATGTGCACTCATGTGCATGTGCACACACTCACATGCACAAGAATAATGTAATTTTGTAAAAAGTTTTAAGTGAATGTCTTCCTCACCTCAGAGGCTTTGGTTTCCTCCTCAGGCACCTCCTTGGCACCTCCCACAGCAGTTTTCCCTTCCCACACTGGACTGCAGCATCACTCTTTCACATTGTTGGGTAGCTTCCCCTCTTCCGCTGACACACCTGTTGGTGGGGTTTCTGTCCCGCCAGGTCCCGCAGCCATTCAGTCCCAAAGAAACACACAGAGGCCTACATTAATTATAAATGGGTTAGCCTATTAGCTCAGGCTTCTTATTAACTAACTCTTATATCTTATATTAACCCATAATTCTTATCTGTGTTAGCCACGTGGCTTGGTACCTTTTATCAGTGAGGCATTCTCATCTTGCTTCCTCTGTGTCTGGGTGACAACTGCAGACTGAGCCTTTCCTCTTCCCAGAATTCTCCTATTCTGGTTGCCCTGCCTCTACTTCCTGCCTGGCTACTGGCTAGTCAGTGTTTTATTAAATCAATACAAAGACAAATCTTTGCAGGATGCAAGACCATTGTCCCACAGCACACACCTTTGCAGTTGATGGGTGGCTTCCCCTCTTCCGTTAACATACGTATTCAGGTTCACTCTTCGTTTCTCTATGCACATTTTTTATCAATAATCCAAAGTTCTTCAGATCCCAGATACAAGGCCTCAGTCAGAACTTCCAAATATTTTCTTCCACCCATTTTCCTTCTCTTTTTTAATGATCAAAGTTCATACATTAAAAAAAGAAAGGTTTATTTTATTACTTGTTTATATGAGTGCAGTGCCTGCAGAGACTGGAAGAGAGTGACAGGTCCCCTGGAGCTGGAGTTACAGACACTTGTGAGGCACCACATGGGTGCTGGGAACTGAGCCCAGGTTCTCTGCGTCTCACCACTGAGCCATCTACCACCATAGTTCATAATTTTGAGTATTATTTTTAGAATTGCTTTCTTGTGGTCAGTCCATGGTTTTGTTTCTTGTTTAACTTACGGTTATAAATATATTTTACTACTTTATTTTAAAAATAATTTGTTTGGCCTTCATACTTATATTTAAAATTTACCTAGACTCTCTCTAGCCCCTCTTCTGATCCTAGCTGAAATTAAAATTGAGACTTGTACTTATTTTTATTTGTCTTGTGAAACAGAGTTTCACTATATGGGTCTGGCTGTCCCGGGACTCACTATGTAGAGCAGTCTGGCCTTAAACTCACAGAGATCTGCCTGCTTCCGCCTTCCAAGTGCTGGCATTAAAAGTGTGCACTACCATGTCCAGCTAAAAACATGTGTAGCCCAGGCTGGCCTGGAATTCCTGATCCTACATCCTCTTCAGCATATCCTATGGGAATTCATGACCGGAACTGGCAAAATGCTTTCACAGCACCTCGAAAGTATCATGAATCCAGACAGCATGCCTGATGGACCCTGCCATCGAGCACTCCTCCAGTGAGACCGTTCCTTCCGTCACAGTGGAAGTGTGGACACAGAGGAGACATTTGCCATTCCCTAGCCTGTTGGCCTATTTTCCAACCACTGGCACATGCCTTAGAGTTTTCTCTGACGACTGGAGCTGTCTTCACCTACAGAGGGAGGGCCCGGATTGCCAGATGCTGGGCAGGGTTGTCCATCACTGGGCTGGAGAGATGACCACTGGGTCCTGAGAGGTTAAGAGCATGGCTGCTCTTGCAGAGGACCTGGGTTTGGTTCTCAGCACCCATGTGGAGGCTCACATCTTTCTATAACTCCAGTTCCAGGGGACTTGATGCCCTCTCTGACCTCTGTAGGCACTGCACACATATGGTGTACGTATACGCTCAGGCAAAGCACTCATTTGGATAAAATTAAATACCCCAGCACCTTGATCACACCTG